GAGAGAGAGAGAAACATACAAATATGTATATACAGATATATATATATATATATGTAACATGTATATATCGAGGAGGCAGGAGAAGACAAACGAAGCCACGATAATAAACAGGTTCTTCAGCAAGAAAATTCTTGGTGTTTGGACACAGGGGGTGAGGAAGAAGAGGATGAAGGAGCAACATCATAAAGATGGGGGGAGGGAGCATATACACTATCAGCGTATGATTTCTTTAGCCGCGCAATCTGACGGGCCGGACGAACGATGGCGGGATGCAGAATGCTGCCCAAACTGAAAAGCATATTCCCTTATACGTGACTGAAAATTCGTGAATTCGGGGGCCCTCCTCCATATTCGATGGTTCTTTGCGCGACCAGTGGACATGCTAGACATCTTGATCATTCGGTGACCAATGCAACCGGCCGAACGTCTATTGCACCACACTGGGGATCCTTTTGCACTCCGCCACAACACGATTTCCTTTGCAACCTGGGACAACATAATATTGGAATTGGTTGTTGGCCCGGTGGTTACAAGACTCATGGGTCTACACCTCCTGGCAGTTCTCCGCCCAACAAATGCTAGCGGTGCTTGTGTCTGCAAAGCTTTTTGTAGCCACAGAGCTCGAGAGCATTACAGCGGGTGTTTTTTTTCTCTGCGCGGGCACAGCTATCACATCTTGCTTAACGGTTTCCCACGAATCGGTAAGACTTCCATTAACGAGTAATTGAACAGCTGTGTGAACACAAGGCTTTCTGTTTGAAGTCGGATTTCAAATAATATTTCCGGCTGTGCCGATACTACTTTCGCCTGCACCTGCACAGCTATCTATAGCGCCCCATATGCTGTTTAAGTTGCAGGAGTTGGGGGAGAACCGAACTATGATACCTGTGCGTGCACCTGACAAATAGCTTCAGCATATTGCAACAATAAAAATCGATGGAAACACAGGAACGAATTTGTGCAATCGAAGACTCTTAAAACTGCGAACACATAGTATTGAACCCGTTTCAATAGAAGCGCTGTTGTAATGGAGTAGAACACACTTTCTTTGTTGAGCGGAACCAGCAATCAACAGCATACTCTTTCTGCAGCGGGGTACAACATAATTACTTCTGTGGCGGAGTATCACAAGGGTTCTCTTTGTGGCAGGAAGCGAAAGTATCCTTGAAAGGATTCACTTTGTGGTGGAAAAGGATTCCATGCCTGATGCAGCTTCTTCCGTGGCAGACTGCAACATGTATCATTTCGTGGTGGAATACACGAAGATATTCTTTTCCCTAGAAATGCATCGAGAGGTGCCCACGAAGCCGAAAAGTTTGGTTAGGGGTCTCTACGACGTTGGGGGCAAACACCTAGCGTTCTTACCACGTCAAATTTCAACAAGCCTCGCTTCTTCGGCTTCAGTAGAGTTCAAGACTGCCCACGAGGTCCCCAAGATCGCCCCAGACCAACCCTGGATGCCCCCACGAGGCGACGAACAGGAACTCAAGAAGGGCCCAAACCGAACACAAAACCGGAAAACTCGAAGGGCTCCCCGGAGCCCGCCCCTTCCAAGATGGCGCCTGAGACCGCTGACAGGCCTGCAAGGAACCCCCAGATCTCGGAGCTCCTAAGAGGCAGCCATAAGACCTCAACAGGCATCGAAAAGAGTCCAAAGAGGCCCCCACGGCCCAGTCACGGTGGCAGGATGAGCCTGCTGCCACCAATCTCGACTGTTCTAGGTTAGCTTTGCCTGCAGACTTTTGCCTATCAAGCTCAAACGCTGGCGACCTTGCCCATCAACCTGTGTACGAGAAAGCGCGCCCGCAGTGTAGCCCCACAGGGCGGGGGGAGGTCTGACGACCTACCAGACCACCCCAACCCAACCCGAAGACCCGAATTTCGGGTTGGGGGGGGTAAGGGTTCCACATGTGTTTTTTCGATGTTCCCGGACCCCCCCCCCCTGGAAATGGAGGGCAAATTGAGGCCTTCGGGTTGGGTTGGGGTGGTTTGCTGGGTGGTGACTACTTTTGTGCTCCGGAAGCTACCCCCCCATCCGTTTCCAAACGGGGGGCGCTTAGCTAGCCCCTCCCCCGCCCTCGGACCTCCCTTGTCGGAAGCCCCCCTTCCGTTTGTACTGGCCCGCGGAACTGCCCCCTCCCCCCCCCCCCGTCCTTTCGCGTTCCGGAAGCCCTCCCCCCCTTCCACCCCTTTCCAAAAGGGGGGGCAGCTTAGCTACCCCCCCCACCCATTGAACCTCCTCTGCCGGGAAACCCTCCCCTCCCCCCTTTTTGGCTAAAGGGGGGGGGGGTGGAAGCCCGCCCATCTTGGCCAAAAGACGAAGCGCCGAACACCAAGAGGGCGCCGAAAACCAACAAAGCGCCGAAAACCAACGGGGCGTTTTCGAAGGGGTGCCAAGACCAGAGGCGCGTCGAAAACCAGAGGGGCGCCGAAAACCACAAGGACGCCGAAAACCTAAGGTGCGCCGAAAACCAAAAAGGGGCGCCGAAAACCACAGCAGTGCCGAAAACTACAGGAGCGCCGAAAACCAAAGGTTCGCCGAAAACCAAAAGGTCGCCGACAACCAAGAGGAAGCCGAAACCACAAAAGCGCCGAAAACCAAAAGCGTGCCGAAAACCAAAAGGACCCGAAAACCAAAAGGCGCCGAATACCAAAAGAGCGCCCAAAACCAAAGAGGCGCCGAAAACCAAGAAAGGCTCCGAAACCCAGCAGGGCGCCGAAAACCAAAGATGAACCGAAAAACAAAAGAGCGCCGAAAACCAAAAGAGCGCTGAAAAGCAAAGGGGCGCCGAAAACATGAAGGCGAAACCAGAAGCCAAAGGGGCGCCCGAAAACAAATAGGGCACTGAAAACCGAAGGGTCGCCAAACACCAGAAGGGCACCGAAAACCAAAAGGGCACCGAAAACCAAAACGGCGCCAAAAACGAAAGGAGCGCCGAAAAGCCTAGGGGCGCCGCGAACCACAAGGGCACCGAGAACCAAAAGAAGGCCGAAAACTAAAAGACCGTCGAACACCACTAGGAATACGGAAACCAAACAAAACGCCGAACACAAAAAAGAGCGCCGAAAACCAAGCATGCGCCGGGAACAAAAAGGGTTCCGAAAACCAAAAGGACACCGAAATCCAGAGAGGCGCCGAACACCAAAAGGGCGCGGAAAACCGAAGGGGCGCCGAACACCAAAGGGGCGCCGAATACCAAAAGGAACGCCGAAAACCAAAGGGGCGTCGAAAACCAACGATGCGCCGAAAACCAACACAACACCGAAAAACCAAAGAGGCGCCGAAAACAAAAAAAGCGCCGAAAACGGAATGGGCGCCGAAAACAACACAAGCCCCGAAGACGGACATGGCGCCGAAAACAAAGACGGCAACGAAAACCAAAGGAGCGCCAAAAATGCGCCGAAAACCAAAAGTGACGCCGAAAAACCAAGGAGGCGCCGATAACCAAAAGGGCGTCGAAAACCAAAGGGCGCCAAAAACCAAAGGGTCGCCGGAAGCCGAAGGGCGCCGAAAACCGAAGGGGCGCTGAAAACCAAAGATCGCCGAAAACAAACAGAGCGTCGAAAACTAAAGGTGCGCCGAAAACCAAAAAAGCGTCGAAAACCAAGGGGTACGAGGAAAACCAACAGGGGCGTCGAAAACCATTGAAGCGCCGAAAACCACAGGAGCGTCGAAAACCAAAAGGGCGCCGAAAACTAAAGGGGCGCCACAGGCCAAAGGGCGCCGAAAACAAAAGACGCGCTGAAAACTTAAGAGACGCCGAAAACCGAAACTACGCCGAACAACAGCAGGGCGCCAAAGACCAAAGAACAAATCTAGCTAGCTTCAGCCAGGGCACTCTAGCAGAAAAAGCTAGCAGAAGGACAGAAGGAAGGGGGTAGCTTCGGAAGCCCCCCCCTTTGGGAAGGGGAGCCCGGGCTTACCCCGGGCCCCGAAAAACTTCCAAGCCCCACCGTTCGCCAGGGACCCACGCTACAAAATCCAAACAAAAACGAGGGGGGGTAGCCTCGGAAAGCCCCCCGCCCTTTGAGAGGGGAGCCTGAGCTGACCTAGGGCTCCGGGAATTCGGGCGGGGGTAGCTTGGAAGCCCTCCCCCCTTAGCTAGGGCCCCCTAGCTCTGAAATTCCCACAGAAGGGAGGGAGGGATGGGCTAGCTTCGGAAGCCCCCCCCCCTTTCCAAGGCAGGGGGGGAGCTTCAAGCTGGGCCTTCCTTTCAATGAGAAGTGTATCACGAGCGCGCTCTTTTCGATGTATCATGGTTGAACCTCCTCCTAACCACTGTCCCTTCTCCTTTTCCACCTCAAACACCCAACCGCCATTCACGCAGCAGATGCGCTCGGTGTGTCCACGTGAGGCTCCTCTCGCCCACCTCGGGGCAGACACCCCAAACTGAGCCCGACACTTTTTGCACCACCAGAACAAGCACCGCGAACTCGTCGCTTAAACATCTTAACAGCCTGTCTCACGATGTGGGCTGCAACAAAGTGGGAGCATGCACGAGCAAACAAACATTCAATAATTAGAACAGTGCACATGCATTACACCGAGCAGTTCGTGCTGCCCGCTTGATATGATCCGAATTCGCCGCGAATTGCAACGCTAACTCGATGATCGTAGAGACCACCCGAATGGGCCCCGAGTGGATAGGGCTGCCGAGTCACACAACATCGCTGATGCATCGTCGATGCGTCGGGCTGGACAAGATCGGGCACCGGATCCCGTAGCGTCGCCGATGCATCGGCGGAGCAGGTTTACCGATGCCGCTACTCCCTGGCCCTCTCCCAGGGCGCGCTCCAACGAGGACTCCGAGGCGAATCCAGCAGTTGAGACGATGGCCCCTACAGGAAGCCCCAGGAGGAGAGAACAAAGGAAGAGCATCGGCAAAATGTTATGAGATCCTCCAGCCCTATCGCTCTGGCCCCTCTCGGGCGCCCTGTAGGCAAGTGGCGGCCACCGCCAAGTGAACAAGCCGCAGCGGTGATCGTGCCCCTGGATCCAATCACTCGAAGTCCTCGACGCCCTCCTCGGCGACCTGAACAAACAAAAAATAGACTGGATCCCTTACCCGCCACCCCTTCCCCAACGCGCGGAGCGCGCCGAGGGCGGCGCGGGAAGCGCCGCCAGGGGATGGCGCCGACCCAAGACCTCCGTGTGGTCATCCGACGGTGCACGTTTATACATCGCTTTGGTTCTCGACCATCGTCGAAGTTCACGAGCAACAGAAATCACATCCATGCCATGTCCTCGCCACCTGGACGCCGAGGCGCGATCCCGAGGAGATCTACGCAGTCTCACGTGCGCCGCATGGGGCGAAGCGCAGAGCCGCCCTGACATCTACGGGGGTGCGGCTGGCGAATCCTGGCCACGAGGTCGCGGAATGCTGGGGAGCAAGCGCAGCATCATGGACACTCCGCCGTGGGGAACCCATCAACGTGCTACCCCTGAAGGAGGCTCGAGGGTCGAGGAGGAGGAGGAGGAGGAGAAGCGACGATCGATGGGCTTGGGCTCGAGCTCGAGGAGCGACAGGAGGAAGATCGAGGGGCATGTCGGAGACAAAAAGGTACCCATACCACTACTCCCGAGGCCTCTCCCCGAGTGCGTTCTGACCAGAACTCTGGGGAGCATCCAGCCGGGGCGAGAGCTTTACAGGACGAGCAGCGGCATCGGTACCCCTTTCTCCTCTGAGCTCGGCTCAAGCTCGAGCATCTCGAGACACGCCCCCCCGCCCGCGAGGACATGTGCGCCCTCCTTGGAGGGGGAGGTCGACGATGAGGAAGAGGAGGGCCGAGGAGGCTCGCGGAGGATCGCGTGGAGGATCGCGCGAAGCAGGAGGAGGAGGAGGAGGAGGAGGAGGAGGAGGAGGAGGACGGGGAGGAGAAGGAGGAGGAGGAGGAGGAGGAGGAGGAGGAGGAGGAGGAGGAGGAGGAGGCGGAGGCGGAGGGGGAGGAGGAGGGGGCGGAGAAGAAGGAGGGGCATCGAGGAGGATCGAGGGGCGTGGCCCGAGCTCGAGGACCCGGGGAGGAGGCCCTGGGCCCGAGGAGCTCGGGACACGCCCCCCAACCGCGAAGACCTGTGCGCCCTCCGTGGCCTCGGCGCCACAGGCGCGGCGCCCCGCCGCGGGCCCCCCCAGCGCGGCGCCCGCGACCCGCCGCAGGCGTTCCAGCACGGCCTCGGGGCCGCTCGCCCCCAGCGGCAGGCCCGGCTCGGCGGCGCCGTCGGCCGAGACCGCGCGCTCCATGAGGAGCACGAAGTGCTGGAAGTCCATGTGGATGCGCTCGATGGCGCGCTCCTGGGCCTCCCTCCTCCTCCTCCTCCTCCTCCTCCTCCTCCTCCTCCTCCTCCTCCTCCTCCTCCTCCTCCTCCTTATTCTCCTCCTCCTCCTCCTCCTTCTCCGCCTCCTCCTCCCTCCTCTCCTCCCTCCTCCTCCACCCCCTCATGTCCCTCCTCCTCCACCTCTTCCTCCTCCTCCTCCCTCCTCCTCCTCCTCCTCCTCCTCCTCCTCCTCCTCCTCCTCCTCCTCCTCCTCCTCCTCCTCCTCCTCCTCCCCCCATGTCCCTCCCCTGTCCTCCTCCTCCTCCTCCTCCTCCTCCTCCTCTTGCTGGAGGTTCCCCTCGAGATACCCCCCTGGAGGATCCCCTTCTGGAGGTCTCCCCCTCACGCGATCGGCGGCGCGCTCCTGTCGGGACGGGGAAGGCCCTCCTCCCAAGCATGGCGCCAACACCGCCCGACTTGGAAGCGGAGGGCGTCGACGCTGCCTGGGAGCGGGGCCAGTCGCTACAGTCAACCAGTACAGTAAGGAGGCGCGATAAGGATGTCAAGGCCTTGGACGGCCACGTCGAAGCTTTTCGAGCGGGGCGCGGCCAGCGGAAGTGGCCAGGGATGGGCCAAGGAGGCAAGGCGAGGAGGCAAGGATGGGCCGTTAGTGGGCCCAGCTTCCTGGCGGGGCACGGTGGTCCAGCGGAACAAAGTGGCCACGCAGCAGTGTCTGGCCACTGGTTGGGCTGCAGGACCCAGTTTCATGCAAATCCTTCCCCCACAGTGCGGACTGGCACTTCCCAGCCGCCCATCCCATGCGAGGGAGCGGGGGCAGCGGGACGGTTCTCCCATGACAGTCATTGCCCCGAGTGGCGTTATGAGCAGGTAGGAACCCAGTCGAAACAATCGCCCGAACTTCCGCCCTGGCGGACACGGAGTTCTTCGACGTCAGCCCAGAGAAAATAAACCTCATCACGATGCAAGACACATCGAACTACGACACGAATTTCGTAGTGGTGCGACGGTGGTGGTGCATGTTTGCAGATTGGCCAGACCTCCCGCTTTATTCCTGGACGCGCGCATGATTAAGAAGTCCTCTGGTGCGCGCGCCCTGGATTAATATCCTCTGGCGCGCATTGCTCAGTGACCTCGCGCCTGCAACGGCTGTGACCGTCTCGGGGCCACCTAAACACACGGATGCCAACGCCTGTTCACCGATAGGGGTGGGCAGCCCTGCTCGTACCTCCACAAGAGCCTCGTGGAGACACAGCGGTGGCGCATTCAGGCGCGCTGGCCGCACCCATCGCGCGAAGTGTCGTAAGCAAGTGTGTGGGAAAAAGAAGGGGGAAAAAAGAAGGGGGGAGGACGCGGGCAGAGGTGATTGGTTCATGTGGGTGCGTCGCGCCTGCAACGGCTGTAATCGTCCGGAGGAGGAGAAGGCGGAGGAGGAAAAGGAAAGGAAGGAGGAGGAGGAGGACCAGTGTAAACCCAAGAGTCATCACGATGTTGGAACTAACGCTCCCTATAAGCTCCCTCTTCACAGGCCCCTCGTTGGAAGACAACCGTTTGAAGATCCTGAACCATGCCAAAACATGGCTCTGAGGATCTGAACGCCACGTATCAAGCTGACTGCTGCGTCTTGACGACCCAGAATCGTACCATATTTTTTTAGACTGCAACGCCGCAAATCAACGTAACTGTTGCACCCGCGTAACCCTGAACCCTGCCAAAACACAATTTCTGGTACGCTGATCATGGGAACCCTGGGAATTCTTCCAACGTTTGAGAACGAATGTGCGCGGCGCTAAGGCGAGAGCCACATGTTGAAAATGACCCGCCCTCAATCCGTGAAACGAGTGCAAATGTTTGAAACGAGCGCGCGCGGCGCTAAGGCGAGAGCCACATGTTGAAAACGACCCGCCCTCAGTCCGTGAAACGAGTGCACATGTTAAAAGCGAATGCGCGCGACGCTAAGGTAAGAACCCGCCCTCAATCCGTAAAATGTTCGCGAATGTTTAAAACGAACGTGCGCGGCGCTAAGGCGAGAGCCACATGTTGAAAACGACCCGCCCTCAATCCGTGAAACGAGTGCAAATGTTGAAAAGCGAGCGTGCGCGGCGCTAAGGTGAGAGCCACATTTTGAAAACGACCCGCCCTCAATCCGTGAAACGAATGCAAATGTTAAAAACGAGCGCGCGCGGCGCTGAGGCAAGAGCCACATTTTGAAAACGACCCGCCCTCAATCCGTGAAATGTTCGCAAATGTGTAAAACGAATGCGCGCGGCGCTAAGGCGAGAGCCACATTTTGAACATGGCCTGCCCACCATCTATGAAACAGTTGTTTCAGGCGAAACGCCCGGCCCGCCCTAAAAAACTGGCCTCAGGGTGCGAGAAGGAGAACTGATCTACAAGTAAAAAGAATGGAGAAGGAGGAGGACGAGGGGGACCCGTGCATAATTCTTTGATGGGGGTCTCAGCAGGCCCCAGGGAGTCCTAGGAGGCCTGAAGAGGTCCAAGGAGGCCCCAGCGAGCCACGGGAGGCGCCAGGTTCCAGGAGGCCACGAGAGGGCCCAGGAGGCCCCGGAGGGGCCCCAGGGAGCCCCAGGGAGCCCCAGGAGGCCGAGAAGGCTGTGTCGGGCATGTGGTTCTGGTCGTTGGCACGGGAGGGAGGGAGGGAGGGAGGGAGGAGGAGGGAGGAGGAGGAGGAGGAGGAGGAGGAAGAGGACGCCCGATCCTGGGCTTGGCACCTCCTTTCGGCGTCAGCCAGCAGCCGCTGCGCCTCCGAGCCGCCCCGGCGCTCCGCCGAGCGCAGCGTCGCACGCGACACCGAGGGCCGCTCCGCCACGGAACCGCGGGGGCCGCTTCGTTGCCCGACCTCCGCCGCCGCCGCCGTCCTCGTCGCTGTCGCCGATGGACGTCGCCGTCGCCATCGTCGCCATCTCCGCTGTCGTCGATGCCGCCGTCGCCGCCGCAGCCGTCGTCGCCGCCGACGCCGCCGCCACCGGCTTCACGGCCGCCGCCGCAGCCGTAGCCGTCGTCACCGCCGTCGCCACCGCCAACGCGGACGCAAGCGCCAACGTCAACGTCAAAAGGTCGTCGTCGTCGCCGTCGACGCCGTCGCCGCCGCCGTCCGCCGCCGCCGCCGCCGTCGTTGCCACCGTCGCTGTCGTCGCCGTCGCCGCTTTCGTCACTCCAGGGCTTCCCCCCGAACGGCCCAGACGCCCACCGAGCCGCCCACTGTGTCCCTTAAGCCGCAATTGCACTGAGCTTGTCTGACCTGTGCTTCAAGGAGCTGGCCCCGACAATCAGTACACCGGCTATGTGGTCGCCGTCGCTGCCCCGTCGCCGCCTCGTCGCCCGCCCGCCGTCCTGGCCTGCCTGTCGGTCTGGCAGCTGTGTGCTCGCAGTCGGCGCCCCGTCGGCGCCTCGTCGCCGCCCGTCGTCTGGGCCTGTGTGTCGGACTGGCGGCACTGTTGTCGCCGTCGTCGCGTCGCCGCGGCCTTCGCCGAACTGCACTTCATGGGTGGCACCTCCCCTCCTCCCCGGACTTAACCGCTCCCCTCGTCATGTGGCAATTTAAACGCGATTCTGCCCCATCGCCCATCCCAAACAAGAGTTCATACCATCCCAGCCCAACCGGTAGCGACCCCCCCTTTCCGCCACCCTTCGCAAAACATGCTTTGCGCGCGCTCTCGTTTATCAGAACTCATCAGATTCCAAAAACCCCATTTGCAATACAAAAGACGAAGTGCGCACGCGCGCGTCGTCGCGCGCGCGTCGTCGCGCGTGCATGCCGAGATCCTTGAACAAAGCACCTTCCGTTTGGTAAGGATTTCAAAATCGAGCGTCAGGAAAACATATAAAACAACGTGTTGTTTTGAAACGCGGCAGCTCAAGCAAAACATGCGCCCGCGCTCTTGCGAATTATTACAAAAAAGCATGCGTTGCTCAGTGGTTGCGTATAATGTTTCCGAAATGGCCTCTCGCGCGCGCGCGTCGAAATCGTTCGAACGCCTTTGCGCGCGCGCTGTCGCAAGAGTCCCTTGCAAAAGCAAATCCCCACGCGCGTGTCGTCGCGCGCGCATGCCAACATATTTGAAGCATCTTTTGTCGTACCGTAGAGATTCCCAAATCGAGCGTCACGAAAACATGCAACAAACACTGGGTGTCGCACCAAGAATTTGTAACAACAGAATTGCGGCCGCGGTTTTGCGTTTTTTTTGGAACCTACAAATCATTTTGTCATACATTCGTCAAATGCTGCGAAATGGGTTTCCCGCGCGCGCGCCGGAATTGTTCGAATGCCGTTGCACAAAATCGGACGAAGTGCGCAAGCGCGCCTCGTCGCGCGCGCATGCCGAAATACGTGAGAGACAGCAAACAGTTGGTTTCGTACGGGTTTCAAAATCGAGTGCTCCGAAGATACATCAAAACACAAGGTTGTGCAACACCACTTTTCAAACAAATCCTGCGTTCGCGCTCTGCCGGGTTCGTAGGAGAACCAGTGGTTCGCCAATGTGTGCGCAAAGTGCTGCCAAGCGGGCCTGTCGCGCAGCATGTCGAACTCATTCGAACGCCCTCAAGCGCCCGCCGGGGGGGGGGGGCGCGCGATCCGCGTCTTATAATGCCACGAGGGCCACTCGCGCGCGGCGGCCGCGCGCGCATGTCGAACTCCTTTAAAACTTCCATCGCCGACGCGAGGACATCGTTCTCGCTATCGACGGGCTTGATCAACATCGGCGCCGTCATTGGCCTTGCTGTCGATATCTCCACCATCGTCACCATCATCACTACTTCCATAATCGTTTCTACATGTGTCGGCGTCGCCATGATACCGCGCACGCCCCAGTCCCCAACTCGCACTGAAATACCCGCGGGGAAATGCCCCTGTCAGCCACCGCGGCCGCGTCGGTCGCGCCAGAATCGTTGGCCGCTGTGCACGCGAGCGTGCGCGTGCTAACGCGGCCGCACACATGCAGCAGCCAACGCCAGACACTCATCGCAATCGTTGCCGCATGGGCTTTTGCAAACCAAGTTGCGGGTGGATGGGAGTGTTGGATATTGCGCGAGCAGAGGAGTTGGCAACTCACTGCGAACAGAAATCAACTGCACCATAAAAATCCTCTTTTCTAAAACAAATTGAGGATCCACCGCCCTCCCGAGGCCGGACTTACCGGTGCCCCCCGAAGATGTGCAACCTGCGATTCTGCCCCGTCGTCCGGCCATGCCAGAACTCGTTCCCCCCACATCCCCAATTTCATCAGGTTGAACAACAAATGCGCACCCTCGCTTCTCGCAAAACATCCTCTTTTATCCCTTAAAAAGACAAGTTTCGTGTGTATGTTCCTACATATATATATATATATAGAAATAAAAAAAAGATGCGTGTGAGCAGAAAGCCTTCCCAACCACGGAGCGGAATGCGCGCGCGTCGTCCGTCGGGCGCAGATGCCGGAAGCACTAAAAACTTCAGAATCGAACGCCCCGAAGAAAAATAATAAAAAAAAAAAAAAAAACATGGTTCCGCAACAAAGATTTTCAAACTAAGCCTGCGCCCGCACTCTTGCGAACTCTCGCGAAAACCGTACGTTGTTATTCAAAGAACTGTAAATTAGCATGCTACCAAGCGGGCTTCTCACGCGCGCATGCCGAAATCGTTCGAACGCCGTTGCGCGCGTGTTGTCGCAAGAATCCCTTGCAACAGGTGGGACGAACTGCACGCGCGCGTCGTCGCGCGCGCAAGCCGGAAACTGTGGACAGCAAACAATGCGGGTTCGCACGGATTTCCAAACCGAACGCCCCGAAAACATATCAAAACACACTGTTTTGCAACATCAGTTTCAAACGAATCCTGCGTTCGCGGTTTCGCGGGTTCTGGACAAATCCCACATGACCAGCACATGCTGCCGGACGGACCCCTCGCGCCGCATGTCAAACTCATCCGGACGCCCTTTGGCGCCCGCCGGGGGGGGGGCACGATCCGTGTCAAATAACACAACGTGGGCCATTCGCGCGCGTCGGCCGCGCGCATGTCGAACGCTGTCCAAAACATTCATCACCGACGCGAAGACGCCGTCATCGTCATCGGCTGGCGTGATCAACATCCGCGCCGTCATTGGCCTTGCCATCGTCGTCGCCACCATCGTCACCATCATCGCTAGTCTGACAACCGTGTTTAAAAATGTCGGCGTCGCCATGGGACCGCGCACGCCCCCGTCACCGACTCGCAGTGAAATGCCCGCTGGGAAAAGTGTCCAGCGGACAACGCCATCGCGGCCGCGTCGGTCGCGCCAAACTACGTGGCCGCTCTGCGCGCGAGCATGCGTGGGCTACCGCGGCCGCGGAAGTGCAGCGGCCAACGCCAAGCACTTATCACAATCGCCGCAGCATGGGTTTTGAAAACCACGTTGCGGGCGGGTGGGTAGAAAGTTTGCACCGGCATGGAGTTTGCCATCTGTGTAGTAAAAACAAATTCTCCTGTCTTTAAAAATAAAAGGCTCGACCCCCCCGGGGAGTATCCGCCCCCCTTTACATGTAAACTTTGACCATCCCAGCCCAGTCGGTATCCCCCCCCCGCCATCCTCTTCAAAAAACACTATGCGCGCACACTCGTTTACCAGAGATCATAAGTGTTCTAAGAACCCCTTTTCAAAAATAAGAGGGCAAAGTGCACACGCGCGCATTGTCGCGCGCGCAAACCAAAATCCTTCAAACAAATTCGCTTTAGCAAAGATGCCAACATCGAGTGACAACACATGGTTTCGCAACGCGGATTTTCAGAACAACAAAAGCTTGCGCGCGCGCTCTTGCGAATTCTTCCCAACAAAAAAAGGTTTTGCACTGTGCTAAAAATGATACCAAAAGTGCTTCGCGCGCGCGTGTCGAAATCGATCGAACGCCCCTGCGCGCGTGCCGTCACAAGAAACCCTTTGCAACAAGAGGGAACGAAGTGCACGCGCGCGCGTCGTCGCGCGCATGCCAATATCAGTCAAAAGCACAGGTTTCGTCAATATTTCAGAACTGAGTGTCCCGAAGCAAATCATCAGAAACACTGCTTCGCAAAATCAATTCCCAAACATAACCTTACGCGCGTCGTTGCGAGTTCTCCAGACAATATTTTTCAACATCCCCACGTAATTCTGAAACAAAGAAAAAGCCTCTCGCGCAGCATGCCGAACAAAGAAAAACGCCCTTGCGCGCGTGCTGGGAGCCACACTCCATGTCAAATAAAACTAATGAGGCCACTCTCGCGCGGCGGCCGCGCGCGCATGTCGAACTCCTTCCAAAACCTTCATCACCGACGCGGGGACGCCGTCGTCGTCGCCGGCGTTGCGCCGTCACTGGCCTGTCCGCCGTCTCTGTCTGCATCTTGTCGTCATCGTGTCTACTGTTGTCGTCGTTGCCATGACACCGCGCCCGCCCAATGCGCCGACTCGCACTGAAGTGCCCGCCGGGGTGTGCAGAGCGGTCAGCGCCACCGCGGCCGCGTCGGTCGCGCCAAAGTAGCTGGCCGCTGCGCGCGCGAGCCTGCGCGGGCTAGCGCGGCCGCAGACATGCACCAGCGAACACCAAGCACTCATCGCAATCGCCTCCGCATGATTTTGCTAACCAAGTTGCGAGTGGGTGGGTGGGGTGATTGCGCGAGCAGTGGAGCCGACAACTTCATGTTTGGCAGAGTTAAAGGCACCACGTGGATTGCATCACATAGATTAAACAGCGCAGATCGCAACACGACATTGCACAATCTACATCGCACCGCATGGGTTGCAATACGGAGATCACAAAGCATAGATGGCACCACATTTGTCGCAGGACACTGATTATACCACATATCTTGTTCCCCATGGATTCCACAACCGCGTATACGTCACACAATAGAAAACACCACATGGATCGTAGAACACATATTCCCTTCTCAAGCAAATATGCGGATCTACTCCCCCTCCCGATGGCGTTGTCGTCGTCGCTGGCGGCGGCGTCGCCGCCGCCGCCGTCCCTGCCTGCGTCTCCACCGCCGCCGCTGCCGTCGCCCTCGTGACCGCCGTCGCCAACGCTAACAGCAACGCCAACGTCAAAGTCGTCGTCGTCGACGCCGCCGCCGTCATCATCGTCGTCGTCGCCGCCGCCGTCATCGCCGCCGTCGAACTCCGTCTTCGTCAGCGTTGTCCACCTCGTCGCCGTTCATCCTCGTCGCGGCCCTCGCCGCGACGAGGAGGAGGAGGAGGAGGAGGAGGAGGAGGAGCAGGAGGAGGGGGTGGCCTCGCCGCAGAAGGGGGCCAGCGCGTCCAGCAGGCTCTCGGCGGGCCTCGACGCGGCGCAGGAGGAGCTCACCTCCAGCGCGGCGACGCGCTTGCGGGCCTGCTGCTGGGGCTTGCCGAGAGCGGGTCAGGGGGGCACCTCCTGGGACGCTGTCGTGAGAACGATACGGGCTCTTCAGCCCCACTGAGGGGCCATGAAGCCCGATCTGGCCGGATGAAGTGGGGGATTCAACCGAAGCGGCTGGAATTAAGCCAGGGTTAAGTGAGACGGTGCCAGACGAGGCCAGGTTCGACCACGGATCTGCCAGCGCCAATGCCGAATTGGACCTCCCAGGAGTTGCATCCCAACGCGACAGGTGGGGGAGAGCATGGATGTCCAGTATGGGCGTTTGGGGAAAGGGCTGCAAGGAGTCCTGGAGTTCATCACAATGTTCAGACTCTCGTGGCCCTGCACAAGGGCTCCCAACTTCGCGCTTCGCGCTCCGCGAAGCGCGAAGTGCGAATAACTTCGCGCTCTCGCGCCGCCCCCCCAACGGGAGAACAGAAGGACGAGGAGGAGGGGGAGAAGGAACGAGGACCACGAAGCGCGAAGCGCGAATAACTTCGCGCCCTCGAGGGCGCCCTTGCTGCAGGGGGCCATCCTGCGCCCCAGAAGTGTGAACGAGCGGACTCGGGATGAAAAAAATGGTCCCGATGAGGCCCCACGGGCCCAGGACCCGTTCCAGGCAGCACCCCGCTGCCTCGTGCCAGATGGTGCGCAAGAGGCGCACGGCGGAGAAAAGATCCCGCGCCTCCTCCTCCTCCTCCTCCTCCTCAGCCTCCTCCACCTCCTCCTCCTCCTCATCCTCCTCAGCCTCCTCCTCCTCCTCCTCCTCCTCCTCCTCCTCCTCTCTCTCCTCGTCCTCCTCTCTTCCTCCTCCTCCTCCTCCTCGTCCTCTCTCCTCCTCCTCCTCCGCCTCCTCCCTCCCTCCTCCTCCTCCTCCTCCTCTACCTCCTCTTCCTCCTCCTCCTCCTCCTCCTCCTCCTCCTCCTCCTCCTCCTCCTCCTCCAGCTTCTCCTCGGATTCGGAGACTCGGACACTCAAGGACCGATGAGTTGTTTCTAACATTTTCGGAAGGCCTTCGGACATTAGTTACTCTCTGAGGGCCTCTGGGGGCCTTCAGGGGCAAAGATCCGAAGCGGAACAATACTATGCGGGCCTGCTTCAGCTGCTCCCGCAGGGAATTGTTCTCCTCCTTCAGCTTCATCGTGTGCTTGATCTTCTGCTGGTGGTTGGTGTGGCCGATAAGCTGGGCGTTCTGGTCGGTGGCGCGCTCGAGATCCACCTCAAAGACCTGCAACATCTCGCGCATGGTGCTGTTCTCAGCGTCCATGCACTCCCAATCCTGCTGGAAGTACTTTCCAGAAGCGTCGACCACAATATGGCACTGCGCAGGACTTGCCATCGTCCCCGCAGACGCGGATACGACTAATGCGAAGATATACAATTGCACGTCAATCGTATCCGTGCTTGCCAGCGAGCTGGGCGGGCCCAGCGATGTGGTGCAGCCTGCGCGGTGCAGCCCACTTGGCGGAAGCCCTGCCGTGCACGCTGCGCGGCTCAGCCCGTGCTCGAGGCGCCCACGACGAGCCCCACGGGCGGCGCCCGCGCGACTCCCGGGGACCCGGGCCAGCGTCCCGATGGGGCCACGAGGCGCCAGCGGGCGGCGACCGAGCGGAAAACCAGGGGGGAGCCCAGCCGGCCCAGACGAGAGGGCAGAACAGGTCCACCCCCGAGAAGAACCGCCCCGACGAGCGAGGCCGTCTAGCAGACGCGTGCAGATGAAGGAGGAGCCCAGCAGGGCGAGGCTGTTTCGTCAACGCCCAGGGCAATGTCTGACACTCCTGGGGGACGTGGAGGGCCCCGAGAGCCCGACGGCAGCGACAGGAAAACTCAGGACCCGTGTCCCTCAGGACACGCTTCCCCCGTGGCGAGTGGCCCTGGGCGGAAGGGTGGCCCTGAGCAAGTGCGCGGCCTCAAGGGGCCGCCGGGGGGGCACCTCCAAGCGCACAGGCCAGTGCCGAGGGTAGGGGAACAAAAAGTGGCATAAACATAGAAACTCGCAGGTCCGCGCGGACTTCTCGGATCGGTGCTGGGGCCCCCCCGCGGCGCCTCCGGCGCCGCCCCTGGCGCGCTCCGCGCGCCAGGGAGGGGGGTCCGGCGCCGCTCCGAGAAATCCGCGCGGACCTCCGAGTTTTATGTTAATGTTACTTTTTGTTCCCCTACTCCAAGGCGCGCAGGCCAGTGCCGAGGGGGGGAACACCGGTGGGCCCGCACTGAGGGCCACGCCGGCGACAGGGCACTCTCACGCGCAGGCGCCTGGCACCCCCCCCCCCCCCGCCCCCCCCCCCGCTGCCCCTGGGCCCGGGCCTGTGGCTTTGCGGGTCCCCAGGGCCGAGTCCCCCCCCCGCCCCCCCCCCCCCCGCCCGCGGGCCTCCACCCTCCTCCCTCCCCCTCCTCCCTCCTCCCTCCTCCTCCCTCCTCCCTCCTCCCTCCTCCCTCCTCCCTCCCTCCCCTCCCTCCTCCCTCCTCCCTCCTCCTCCTCCTCCCCTCCTCCTCCTCCTCCTCCTCCCTCCTCCTTCCTCCTCCTCCCTCCTCCCCTCTCCTCCTCCTCCTCCTCCTCCTCCTCCTCCTCCTCCTCCTCCTCCTCCTCCTCCTCCTCCTCCTCCTCCCATTCCTCCTCCTCCGTGGGGGCCTCCCTCGTTTGGGCCGCCCGTCGGGCCCCACCCCGCGGCTGGAAGGAGGAGGAGGAGACGAGGCGCAGGCGCGCAGCGGCGGGCCCCCGCCCCCGAGGGCGGGAAGGCGGAGAGGGATAGCATGAAGTGCAGCGACGGCTACTCGCCCCGAGCGAGCCAGCATGTGCGCGGCTCGAGATGGGCATGGGTGAACGGAACACCCTCGCTCGGGAAAAGTTTGGCCGCATGGCCCATGCACACACGCACACACACAAACAGACACATAGATACCGTCATCCCCCTTCTCCCATGCCGAGCCTCCGTGCACGCGCTCGCGTAGTGCAGGTGTCTTGTGCGATGTTCCGAGCTTGCCTCGCGTGCCCCAGCATGCAGACTATAATCGTTCCTTGAGCAGCTGTTTTGCAACGTTGGTAATTTCCGAAGAGGCACGAGGGCGAGAGCGCACGGCCACAGCAGAATTCCCGATCCTGCTTGAACTGCTGGGCGGACAACAGCAGCTGCCGGTTCTGCAGCCGGAGCTCCTCGACATGCTGCTCCGCAGAGGCGAGCTCCTCTGCCTGCGCTTGCAGCCGCTCGTCGCTTGCCACGCACACCTCCCCCTTTTGCCGCCAGTACTGCAAGTCGAGCATGCACTCCTTCAACTTCTCCTCCGCCTTCTCCTTCGCGGACCGGAACATGTCCGATTCCTCGCGGGGCAAAAGCAGTACCGACTCTGCTGCTCCCTGGACCTCTCCAGGGTGCGCTCTGACTAGGGCTCCGGTGCAAATCCAGCCGTGGTGACGAGGGACCCGGGGAGGCTCCCCCAGAGGCGAAAACGAGGGAAGGGCGCTGGTTGCGCAGTGTGTTCCTTCCCTCCCCCTCCACCTTCTTGGCGAAGCGGAGCCTGTCCAGCTCCGAACGCAGCTTCTCCTCCCCCTGCAGCTTCTGGCGCATCTCTTCGACACCGGGCCCGGCCCGCGCCAGCTCCGCGCGGAGCTCCGCGCTCTCGGCCTCCACCTCGGCCCAGTGGCCCTTCATCTCGCGCGCGAGGTCCACCTCCACCTCGAGCTCGGCCGCGTGCTCACGTGCACGCTCGAGGCGGCTCCGCATGTCCTCCTGCGTGCGGCTGGCCTGCTGAAGCTGCTGCTCGAGCGAGGCCACCCTGTCGCTGGCCTCGTCGCGCTCCAGGGCCTTGGCTGCCGCGTCCTCCTTGGCCTCCCTGAGCTCCTCACCCAGCGAGGCAGCCCTCGCCTCGGCCTCCTCCAGCTGGTTGCCCAGCTTCTGGGAACTGGCGTTCAGAAGCTCCAACGACGCCTTCGCCTCGTCGCGTTCCCTGGCCTTTACTTCTGCGTCCTCCTGAGCCTCCCTGAGCTCCCTGGTCAGCGAGGCGGCTTTCGCCCCAGTCTCCTCAAGCTCGCAGCTCAGCTTCTGGGAACTGGCGTTCAGAAGCTCCAGCGACGCCTTCGCCTCGTCGCGTTCCCTGGCCTTTACTTCTGCGTCCTCCTGAGCCTCCCTGAGCTCCCCCGTCAGCGAGGCGGCTTTCGCCTCTGTCTCCTCAAAGTCACGGCTCAGCTTCTTCAAGCGAGCGTCCAGAAACTCCACCGACGCCTTCACCTCGTCGCGCTCCTTGGCCTTCGCCTCCGCGTCCTCCTTGGCCTCCCTGAGCTTCTCGGTCAGCGAGGTGGCATCCGCCTCGGTCTCCTCCAACTGGCGAGCCAGCTTCTTGGAGCCAGTGTCCAGAAGCTCCACCATCGCCTTCGCCTCGTCGCGCTCCTTGGCCGTAGCCTCCGCGTCCTCCTTAGCCTCCCTGAGCTTCTCGGTCAGCGTGGAGGCATCCGCCTCGGTCTCCTCCAATTTGCGAGCTAGCGTCTTGGAGCCAGCGTCCAGAAGTTCCACCGACGCCTTCGCCTCGTCGCGCTCCTTGGCCTTAGCCGCCGCGTCCTCCTTGGCCTTCCTGAGCTCCTCACCCAGCGAGGCAGCCCTTGCCTCGGCCTCCTCCAGCTGGTTGCTCAGCTTCTGGGTGCCAGCGCCCAGACGATCCACCGACGCCTTCGCCTCGTCGCGCTCGTGGCGCGCGGCGTCGCCGCTCTCCCTGGCCTCCTCCAGCTGGCTGCTCAAGGTCGCCGCGCTGGCCCTCATCTCCTCCAGCGCCCGGCTGGCGGCGCTGCCCCCAGCCTGAGCCTCGCGCAACTCCCGCCGCATCTCGTCACCGCTGGCCCTGGCTGCCTCCAGCTCGCAGGTGAGCGCCGAGGCGGCCGCAGCGGCGCTTGACTTCGCCTCGTCGAGCTCGCGGCCGAGGCGGGCTGACTCGCCCCTGGCGTCTTCGAGCTCCTGGCCCAGGCGGGCCGACTCGCCCTCGACGCGCTGGAGTTCCTCGGGGGGTCTGGGAAGGAGATGCCGCTGCCGCTGCCCCTCCGACACTCTCCCATAGCGAGCTTGATTCCGAAGCAGATCCAGCCATGACGACGAGCCCCCCCCCTCCCAGAGGCACAGCAAGCAAAGACCGGGCAATTGCATCGGCATCGGTACACGTCGGTCGGAAGAAGTGGGTAGAAACATGAAGTAGGAAGGCGGATATAGTGGACTGGGTCCAGGTCCTCCCAGATAATGACAAAACACTGCAAAAGCATGTCGATTCTTGAAGTAGAAAGGCGCTTGAGCTAGATTGGGATCTGGAAATCCAAAAATACCTACTTTCAACGACCGGCGTGTATGCATATGGCTCTTCTCCTCTGCAGCTCCTGGCCCAGCGCGGCCAGGTTGTCTGCGGCCAGGCCCAGCTCCTGGGTCAGCGACGCCCTGTCCTTCCTGGTGTCCTCCGCGCCGCCGCAGCCATCGTCGCCGTCGTCGTCGCCGTCGCCGTCGTCGTCGTCGTCGTCGTCGTCGCTGTCGAGTTGTCCCAACCAACCTGCGTTGCATGGGGCTCGCGCTTTGAATCCGCACAATTCCACATTACCTTCTCCCGCGTCGCCTCCTCCAACCCTTCCTATGCCCTCCAAATGCCCATATCGGCACACCACTCACACGATTCGTCGCCCTTCAGGAAGCTCCACCGAAGGCCGAAGTGTGCCCGAGCGCATTCTGACCCCCTGACGAACGCATGGCACGCCCCGTAGCCCCAGAGGGAGTTCCACCGAATGCCGCCTCATCGGGACCGACCACAATCGGTCTCCCCGATAATTTCGGCACACACAAACACACACAAACACACACACAAACACACAAACACACACACACACATACGCACGCACGCACGCACGCACGCACGCACGCACGCGAGCGCGCACGCGCACGCGCACGCGCACACGCACACGCACTCGCACACGCACACGCACACGCACACGCCCACACACACACGCCCCCGTCCGCGCCCCCGCCCCCACACCCCGACACCCCCACACGGCACCATCACGCCACCCGAAACGGCCTGGTCCACCTTCCAGCACCGACGGCGGCAACCACGGGAGCCTGCACACGCGGGGGCGTCCCAGGCTGGTGGGCGTCTCGCGCTGTGACAGGACCTCGCCGTGCGTTGCTCGCGGGTCGCGTGAGCGCCGGTGTGCCCAGGACTGGAAAGGCGCAGGTCCTGGGTGGATGGGAGCATTCGGAGAGCTGCGGATGAGTGGTGGTCAGGGCTGGCTGCAAAGAGGAGCGTGCCCCACCCGCGCACCTCCCCCCTCGCCCACCGCCGCCCGCACTGCTTGCGCTGGCGCGCGGCCTGGGCTGAGACGGAATGAGGATGCGAGGTCCCGTGTGTGGCGGGCGGCAATAAAAACACACAAACACCAGCACAAACACACAAACACACGAACACACAAACAAACAAACACGCAAACAAACAAACACGCAAACACACAAAATCTTAACCACGCAACCACGCAAACACACAAACGCGCAATCACGCAAACACGCAAACACACAAACACACAAACACACAAACAAACAAACACGCAAACACATAAAACCTCAACCGAGCAACCACGCAGACACACAAACGCGCAAACACGCACGCGCAGAAACACATAAACGCACAAACACACAAACACGCAAACGCGCACACATACGAACACACAAGCACACAAGCACACAAACAGACAATTACACAAACACGCAAACACACAACACACACAAACACACAAACACACAAGCGCACATGCACACAAGCACACAAGCACACAAGCACACAAGCACACAAGCACATAAACACACACAAACACACACAAACCCACAACAAAAACACGAACCCACAGACACACAGACACACAAACACATAGACATACAAACACACAACACACACACAAACCCACAACCATACAAACACACAAACACATGCAAAAGCACAAGCACAAGCACAAGCACACAAACACAAACACTAATTCACACACGCAAACACATACACAAGCAAAAACACAAACACGCACACACACACAAACACGCAACACACAAACACAAACGCAACCACAACACATACACGACCTCAACCACAACCACAACTACACAAACAAACACAAACACAAACACGACACAATCACAAACACACACAAACGCGTACACACAAGCACGAACATCAACGCAAACACCAACACAACACACAACCACATGCACAAACACACAAACACAAACACACAAACACAAACACAAACACCAACTAACACTCAAGCACAAACACACAAACACAAACACAAGCACAAGCACAAGGACAACCACGAACACAAGGACAAGCACCAATACACAACCACAACCACAACCACAAACACAAACACACATACAAACACACAAACACACAAACACACAAACACAGAACCACAACACACACAAACACATGTAAACACACACACAACAACACGCAAACACAAACACACACACAAACACATGCACATACACAAACATAACCACAAACACAGAAGCACAAACACAATCACATGCACAACCATAAACACACACACAACCAAAAACACAAACACACAAACACAAACACACACATAAACACGTACAACTATACGTACACGTGCACAAACACAACCACAACCACAAACACGAACACATGAAAACGTTTTGCGCCGGCGGCTGGGCAGAGAGCGATTACTCTTGCGGAGTGGCAACAGGGGGCACGCTGTACGCACACATGCAAACACACACGCACAAACAAACACACACACACACACACCGCCACACACGTGTCGAGGCCCCTTAGGAAGGTCAGCCGAAGGCCTCAGTGAGACCTACCGGGTGCGGTCCCCCAGCCCATGTCACCACACTTCTCACACGTTTCGTGGCCCCAGAAGGAACTCTACCCAAAGCCTTGCTGGGAACGACAGAATGCGGTTCCCCACCGAATCTTTGCACACATTCCACACGTTTCGTGGCCCTAGAGGGAGCGTTCCACCGAAGGCCTCAATTGGACCAACCGCGTAAAACCCCGACCATTGCTGCACACCCCTCGCGCGCCTTGTAGCCCCAAAGGGGGCTCCACCGAAGGCCTCAGCGGGACCGACGCACAACGCCTGCGACCATTCCTGTACACCTCTCGCACATTCCATGGCCGAAGAGGGGGCTCTATCGAAGGCCCCAGCGGGACCGACCACATAACGGCCCCGACCACTTCTGCACATCCCGCACTCACACCTTTCATGGCCGCACGGGAGGCTCCACCGACAGCTCCAGTGGCAAAATTCGCATGCGTGCCCATGCCCATGTCTGCAAACCTTTTTATGGGAACGAAAAATGGCAGAAACATCAGAACTCGGAGGTCCGCGCGGATTTCTCGGATCCGCGTTGGACCCCCTCCCTGGCGCGCGGAACGCGCCAGGGGAGGCGTCGGAGGCACCGCCAGGGGGGTCCAGTGCCGATCCGAGAAATCCGCGCGGACCTCCGAGCTCTTATGTTCATGTAATTCTTCGTTCCCCTATTTCGTGGTCCCAGAGGGGTCTCCGCCGAAGGCCTCAGCGGGACCGACAGCGTCAAGCGCTTCATGGCCCAATGGGGCTCCGTTGGCCCGACCGAATGGCGTCACCCCGACAATTTCGGCACACCCCTCACACGTGCCGTGGCACCACAGGGAACTCCATCGACGGATCCAGTGGCACAGCTTGTGCGCGCTCTCGCGCCCATTGTGGCACACAACTCAAAATTTCGTGCCCAACAATAGGCTACACCCGCGGCCACAGTGAGGGCCAGTATGGCGGTGCCGCCCATTTCGGCGCACTCTCACCAGGATCGTGGCTCTATACGTAGCTCCCCCGACAGCGCCAACGACAAGGTCTCTATATCGGCGCCAGCTTTCCCAGCGCGCCATTCACCAGGACCGTGGCCTCAAATAGAAGCTCCCCATACAGCCTCAGCAAGAGGATCCGCATGGCGGGGACGTCCAGTCCAGCACACCCCGCACGATGACCGTGGCCTCATAGGGAGCTCCACCTCCGGCCCAAGTTGCAGGGTACGTATCGCGGCGCCGCCCATGCCAGCACACCCTTCACGAGGACCGTGGCCCTATATGGAGCTGAGTTCCGCACGGCTCCAGTGAAAGGGTCCGCATGGCGGCGCTGCCCATGTCGGCGCACCGCTCACGAGGATCGTGGTCTCGCATGGAAGCTTCACGTATGGCGTCAGAGGGAATGTTTGCATGGTGGTTTCCGCCAGTTTCGACGCACCCCTCACAGGAGCCCCACCTGCTGCCCATGTGGGAACGTTTGCACGCGTTTCCCCGCAGCACATTCTGCCGACGTGTCCACACACGTTTCGCGCCCCTGAGGGAGCTCCACTTGCGACCCCAATTGGAAAGATTGCATGCGTCTCCCCGCCCAATGCGGCACATCCATCGTATGGCATAGCACATGGACCGTGCATGGATAGGCTCCAGGCTAATTTCCACCCGCGGTCCCAGAGCTCTCGACCCCTTCCCCAGGAGCAGGAGGCGAGGAGGAGGAGGAGGAGGAGGAGGAGCAGGACGGCGAGGAGTAGCAGGAGGAGGAGGAGGAGAAGGAGGAGGAGGAAGAGGGAGGGGAAGAGTAGGAGGAGGAGGAAGAGAAGTTTTGTTCGCCCCCCCGATGCCATTGCCGCGGGGCACGATCACGGACCCCCAGACACCGAACTCGAGAGACGACCACCTGGATGGACAAAACTCAGACCTTCGGAGCGCTGGGTTTTTGCCCCTCCTCCTCCTCATCCTCATCCTTTTCCTCCTCCTCCTCCTTTTCCTCCTCCTCCTCCTCCTCCTCCTCCTCGTCCTCTCCTCCTCCTCTTCCTCCCACTACTCCCCTTCCTCCTCCTCCTCCTCCTCCTCCTCCTCCTCCTCCTCCTCCTCCTCCTCCTCCTCCTCCTCCTCCTCCTCCTCCGCCTTTCCTCCGCCTTTCCTCGCCGTCGTGGTGTCCTCGAGCTCCTCGCCGAGGGCGGCGCGGGCCGCCTCCGCCTCCTGCAGCTGCCGCCGCAGCGCGGCCGCGTCGCCGACGGCGGCGGCCTCGGCCTGGCGCAGCTCCTCGCGCAGGGAGCCGACGTGGGCCTCGGCCTGCTCGAGCTCTGCGCCCAGCGACGTGGCCTGGGCCTTCGACTCCTCAACGCGGCGCGGCCGGCGCGGCCGCAGCCCCGGGGACATCCCCAGCTCTCCAACCATGTGGCTTTTTCCTTGCTGGCGTTCGAGCTAGAAGGGTTCTCGCCGAGACAAGTCTTTAGAACCCCCGCCCCCCCAACAGTGGACACTGATTATCCTTTTCGACGCCCTTATTGACGGACCGGGGTCCCACCAATAATTGAAAATTGTAGTTTCTCCGCGGGACCCGCCGCGCAACAACGACAACGACGACGACGACGACGACGACGACGACGACGACGACGACGACGACGACGACGACGACGACGACGACGACGACGACGACTACTAGGAAAAGGAAGAGGAGGATAAGCAGGAGGAGTGGCGGCGTGAATTCCCCGCCGAAAGAAGCAGAGAGAGGGTGGGAGCATCCTCCAAACTGAATACCTCCCTCAGTTAGAGGAGGTGAAAAGACGCACAGAAGACAGAAGGCTTCCCTTGTACATTGTCCTGGCAGGGAACCCAGACATATGCAGTTGTGAGTAGCGCACTTGCGACTCTCGTCTTCAGTGGCATTCCCTATTGGGCCACGAAGTGTGTGTAAGTGTGTTCCAAAATCGGTGCGGTGCCGCATGCGAAGGACGCCACTGGAGCCTGGGGTGGAGCCATGGGTCCACTGAGCGTTTGAAGGTGCATCGAGATTGGTGCGGGGCCGCATGCAAACGTCGCCAGTGGGGCATTAGGCGCCGCGCTGCGTCCGCTGACGATGCGCCCGATGTTTCCTGGGGAACGCTCAGCCTGGTGTTCACGGCTGCGCATTCTCTCCAGGAGTTGATCGTGCTGTTGTTGGGTGCGGGAAATCTGGTGATTCAGCGGTTGAAGCAGCTGCGCTACTCGGGATATCAAAGTCAGGATCTGGAAGCTGGGTAGGTTGAAGCCTGCTGAATTCTCCCGGCCTGGCCATCTTGAGTCGGGCCAATACTGAATTGATGCGTTCGCCCCTCTCTGCCCTGGAAGCGATGATGGCTATCGTCGAGGTGAGCTGTCGTTCGTCCTCAAGGTTTTCAAATGTGGACATTTAATACTAAATCGGTTCATGATGTATGTGACTTCATCGATGCGTCTTCCCCTTACGGCGGCACCATAGTTGATGGTGGACGGCACCCACATGGCTAGTGTCCTAGCAGCTCCCCCTAGACCGCGCTTTAAGGCAACGGCCTGTTGGTGTGGAGTCGCGCTTCCACTCGTGTCGTTGAGCCAAGCGGTACTTCGCGAACAAAGTCGCGGAAAGGGTACGTTGCCTGCGGGATCCCAAAGAGGACCCCGAATGCGCGTGTCATCCAGTCCTCCTCATCGCACGTATGCCATGGCAATACCTAGGCACGCGACCTAGGCATGCGATGGCAAGATGGTTCCAAAGATAGCGACCTTAACATACTGCAAGGTCATGGTGTAGCTGAATATGTCAGTCTTCGTATCATTGGAGATTGTCGCGCCGGTTGGGGTGCGACTAGGTGTCTGGTCAGACGTGGCCGTCAGTTTGCGGATGGGTATCGGTGCTTGAGATGTGCGTGGCGTTTGGCCACGCGGTGTGAACATGGTGGTGTAGGACAATACATTACCAAATGGTTCAGAAACGTAGGGAGTCTAGTCGCTGAGGGCCGGCGTAATCGGGTGCTCCACTGTGTCGTGGTAAGTTGTTGTGCCATAACACCCGATGTAAGAGCCAGCCGCATGGAAATGTAGCCAGCTCCGCTACCAAGCGAAAGATAAGGGTTGACGGCTTGACCATGAGGTAGTAAACTGGGAACCCAACTCTTAGGATAACGTCGGCAACGTACCGAAGCATCCCACATTTCATCCCTTGATGGCAAGCAAGATGAGAAGTAAGAGATAAGCCGTGTGATTGAGAGCGGGTCACAGATAGACGTGGCCACTGTCTGAAACAATGATCCAAATAGAGTCGCTCACAGTCGTGCAACTGGCATATAGGACTGCGGAGTCTTGAGCGAAAGCAGCGCCAGGCATAGCGTTCGCTGTACAGCCTCGTATTAAACCTAGTTCGAACTTAACGTTGGTCTTTGACACAGAGATTTAGGTCGGGCATGTTCTCCTACAGGCGTATTTCGATAGACGAATGAAGTACTCTCATAATATATTCGATCATAAGCAAACACATCCAAACATCATCCCCGACTAAAACTGATGTGTTTGAAATATTTCTCCTGTAGATGGACATGTCCGACTTAACACAACGATTAAAACAGGCCTCTCAAGAGCTATGTTTCGTGTTCGTCGTAAATAAAGCCTCGCCCTCGTTCCCCCGTCGGTTTCCCTGTGGCGCTGCCCCGCACACCCGGGCCCCATGGAGCCTGCCCAGAGCCCCACGAAGAGCCCCACGAAGAGCCCCACGAAGAGCCCCACGAAGGCGCCCCCAGGATGGGGCCAAGATGCCTCCAAGCCAGCCCCAAGACACTTCCAAGGCGGCACAATACCACCCGTAAGCTGCCCCAGAAAGCCCCGGATCCTCCAATATCGCCCTGCAGCAGAGCAAGTGGAAGGAAGGAGGAGGAGGAGGAGGGCCACGAAGCGTGTGACGCGTGTGCAAAAAAAAAGCGGGGCGGCGTGTGGATCCTGCGACTGGGGCCTTCGGTGGACTCTCCATGGGGTCACGATGCGTGTGGAGGGGTGTGCCGAAATGGGCGGGGCGGCATGCGGATCCTGCGACTGGGGCCTTGGAGCTCCCCATGGGGTCACGAAACGTGTGAGGGTTGTGCCGAAATGGGCGGGGCGACACGCGGTCCCTGCCACTGGGGCCCGAGACCTGTCCAGGAGCGCGGCCTGACCAGAACTCCGTTGCGAAGTCGGCCTTGGCAACGAGGGCGCCCCAGGCGGCCTGAAATCTGGCGACAACCTCAAGGTCGCCGCCGTCGCCTAGTTACGCCGGTGCCGCTGTCGTCGTCGTCGCCGCTCCACGCCCACGGCGAGCAGGCCGGTCCTCCAGCTGGCGGCCGAGCACCGCGGAGGCGCCCTGGCGTCGCGCTCGCTGGCGCGCGCGCGGGCGCAGGCGGCCGAACTCCGAGGCCCGCCCGAGGTTGTCGGGCACCGCCCGCACAGCTGCAGCCGCGGGGGGGGGCACGACCAGAACGCCAACACCGGTCCAGGCCAGGCCCAGCCTGGGCCCAGGATCGCTGCATGCGCGCCCCCGGCCCAGGAAGGGAGGCATTGCCACCGATCCTGGGCCTGGGGTTGGCGGGGGCGGGGTCGGTGCAGGGGTGGTCCTCCGCAGCCGAGGCGGTCGCTGTCACTTCTACTGTGCAAGGATTCGGCTGCGAAGCCTGGGTCGGCTTTCGAGGGGCATCTCTGAGTATCGTTTATTCGATCCCCATCCCCAGCGGCGTGGCCTGGGCCCCACAGGCCAATTTACCCCCCTAGATGGGGATATATACGCTGTTTCTTTCGGATTTCCAGGGGTGTATCCCCAACTGGGGGGTAATTTGGTAGGGATCTCGAAGGGGATGGGGATGGGGATGGGGATCGGTTGAACGATACCGAATCTCTAGCAAAAGCTGGGCCAGCCTTGCCTGGAGGACAGCCCCACGAATTCGCTCGGGGGGGCCGCCGAGAAGCCGGGGGGCCGGCTAAGCGGAAGCTGCGGAAGCAACGCCAGGCCAACGCGAGGGAAAGTGTCAGAACTATCGTCGCAGCTGTAGGTCACCAACAGTGGGGGCCAGTGCACAGGAAACCCTCCACAGGAAACCCGATCCCGGGACCCCAGGGCGTCCATTGATGGGGTGTGGGAACGTCACGTTTTATCAAAAATCATCGAACCCCAAGAAACCCAGGGCACCTTGGAGGCCACCAGGGTGTCTCCTGGCATGGCCCCCCCCCCCCCCACTGTACGGCGCTGCTTCTTCTTCATCCTCATTGAGCAGGGACCGACCGTCCCGGCATTCCTACAGTCCTACCACTAAATGCTCGTAGAACCCAATTATCCCAGCGCGACCCTACCTAGGAGTTGGAGCCCCTAGGAAAGCAGCATTAGTAGTAATAGTAAAGCTAAGCTAAAGCTAAGCTAAAGCTAAAGCTAAAGCTAAAACTCCCAGGGGACTGGGGGAACCGCTCCCAGGGGACTGGGGTAACCGCCCGGGGCGTGTTCCACTGCCCGGCCCCTTTAAGCAAAGACAGTAAGAACCCTTCTAGGCAGAGCCTAGGTCGGGGAAAATGCTCGAATAAGACACAATGTTCTCAGAACATAAACCAGCTGTGCTAAAACAAAACAATATCCGCCAGAAATGTTCACAGAACATCTCGTGGAAACCCAGGGCACCTTGGAGGCAAAGGGCGGTGCTTCTTGGCATAGGGGTCTCCACTGTGGCTCTGCGCGTCGCGCTGCGCGATGTTTGCGGCCACCTTCGCGCCTTCGCCCCCTCGGGCCCGGACGCGCGAGGCGCGCAGAGCGCTCCTCGTCGTCGCGACCCCCCCATGCGGGCGACTCAGAAAGGACTCCGCCCCAAATGCGTGGTGAATTTGATGGAGGGAGGGGGGGGGGGGGGAGCAGGGAGAGGAGGAGGAGGAGGAGGAGGAGCAGGAAGAGGAGGAGGAGGAGGAGGAGGAGGAGGAGGAGGGGAGGGGGAGGACCAGGAGGGGAAGACGGAGGAGGACGACGAAGAGGGGGGGGGCAGAGGAGGAGGGGGGGGAGGAGCAGGGACAGGAGGTGATACATTTAGACCCTTCTCGATCGCATTAAGTCGGGCGTGTCCCCCATACCAACGGATTTCGGACGAACCATACAAATAGTCAAACACACCAAACATATTCAAAACATGTGTTAAACACGTCCCCAAACTATTTTCGCATTGTTTTGGAATGTTCCTCCTGTAGAGGGACATGCCCGACTTAACAATAGAGCCCTACAACCAGTAAGTTTCATTACAGAGGGTGCTCCATTGTAAGACAACCATGTGAGAACCCCCAGTCGTGCCACAACACCACTCCTGAGACTTGAACGCAACGGAACAAAGTTAGCCGTGCCAGAACACCACCCCTGGGCCTTCAACGCCGCGAATAAATGTGACTGTTGGGAAGTCCTCAGACGTGCCAGTGCACGTACCATGGGGCTTCAAGCATACGAACACACGGAATTGCTGCAAACGTTAAACACGAACATGCGCGGCGCTAGGGCGAGAATAATCGTATGAAAACGGCCCGCCGACAATCATTGAAGCTGTTGTACAAGTCCCACACGAATGAGCGCGGCGCTAAGTCGAGAGCAACATTCGTAACACGGCCAATCCTTGAACCTGATGCGAACTGTCAACACACACTTGAGCAACACTTTGAACACAGCCCCCCCCGATCCGTCAGACAGCTGCAAGTGTTCAGCAAGAGTGCGCGCGGCAATCCAGCGAGAACAACATGGTGGAACAACAACACCCGCCCCCCATGTTTGAAGCTGTTCCGAATTCAGGCTTCAGGACCCAGAGGCGTGAAGGAGTCTCAGTCGCAACGCCCAGCCCACCCTACCCACACGCCTGGGAGTGCGACAGGGAAGAGTTATAGGGGAAAAAGGATGCGACGCCCTGGGCCTCTCCCGGGGGGCCCTCCCTGGCCAGATGTGCCAGCTGCTTCTCGGCGGCGAGCGCGGGCGGGGAAGTGAGACATCTCAGAAGGCAGCGGGGCTTCTCGGACGCCCTCTGGCCTTCTTAGAAGGCTGACCGCCCCTTCTCCTTTTCCCCCTCGCTCGCCGACGAGTTGTTCCAGGCGTGGCCGCGCCCCCCCCGCCCCCCGCAGAGGGGGCAAGATGAAGCAAGAGCGCACCAACATCTCACGAGGTCGAGCTTCCAGCTCCCACAGGGGGGGCGCCTTCGGTCGGGAACTCTTGCCCAGCGTGTCGCGGCGGCGGCCCTAGCGACACGTTGTGCCTTGCAAGCGGACAGCGTCCCGCCCCGCTCTGCGTGGCAGGAGGCTGGGGAGAGGCTCGGCACGTCGATGCATGCGATGATCGGGCGCGGCCTAAGCGACCCCTGGCAAGCCATCCCCTTCCGTGACGTCATCCTCGCCTTTCGAGCTCCCCTCCGGCCGCGAGGCGAGGGGGACGGCACGGGCGGGGATGGTTTGCTAGGTCTCGGTTGGGCCGCCCCTGAGGTTAGTGTGTCGCGCCGAGGCATGGTGGAGCAGATCTTTCGGGGTGGCAAACGTGTATGACGTAGAATCCTCTAGTGCCGCATGCCCTCGAAAGGCGCTGGATGCGATGATATTGGAATTGGTGGTCTATCTTGTGGCGACGGCGCCGTTGGTGAACCACCGAGTGCCCTCCGTGCGCCATCGAGACGTGGCATGGGGCTGACATAAACATCTCGCCGGCGAATACCTACTTGATGCTTCTTTTGATTTTGCGGTAGCGTCGTAAACAACTGCCCGCCGTAACAAAATACGGTCGGACCTAGGACGTAATCAGATCCTTCAAGAACACGAGACCCCCCGCCGGCCAGAACACCCGAAACCGTACCATCACTCGAGGGTGCCCTCCCCCAGGACGCACAAGAGCACCCAACAAGCACGAAGAACCTTCGGGCACCCTCCCCGAACCGACCTCCATCTGACACCTCGGTCTGAACGTCAGTGCAATATGAAAACGTAAGAGCAATCCGACCACCTCCGACCTCCGTGGCCCAGAACCACGCAGTCCAACCGTGAGAGCGGGCATCCACGAGCGGGCAGCTCGGAGGGAGCGGGCGCTCCTCGGCAGTGGTCGGGGCGGCCAGCACTGCGGGTCCCGGAGAGGCCCCGAAAAAGGCTCCACCGGGGAATCTCGGAGGACCCCGTGGGACATGCTTGCGGCCCATAGGCAAGAGATGCCAACAACAAGCGTGGCGTCGGAGGTCTGGGCTCACCCCCTCCACCCCCACCCCACCCCCCATCATCCCGCAACGCCCCTGGGCCCTGACTGGAGGAAGCCCTGACTGGAGAATCGACGGGAGCGAATCCGGCCGTGGCGGCGAGGGCCCCCGTGGGGGGGCCGGGAAGGCAACGAGCAGCGAAGCTCCTCCCCTATGCTGCAGGGCGCATTCCGCCAGCAGCCACCCTGCGACTGCGGTCACGCTGCCGCCGCGGTGCTCCGCCTCTGCCTCCTCCTCCCCCTCGCTCCCCCTCCCCCTCCCGAGGAGGCCCGGCCGCATATCCGATCCTCGCCCTGCCGTTCTCCTCCTGGCCCTCCTGCTTCTCCACCTCCCCCCAGTCTCCTCTTCGTCCCTCGCCTCCTCCCTTTGCCGCCATCCCTTTTCCTCGCGAGTTGTTTTAGATATGGGAGCGGCCAGCATGCTTCCAGCAGAAGCGCTGCACAGTTTCGACTCCGAGGCCAATTGCGGGCGTGCCCAAGAGCTCGCTCAAAACGTGACGGAGACGGTGCGAAGGAAGACATGATTCCAGCCGAAACGGTGCACCGGTTCGAATCCGAGGCCAGTTGCGGATGTACCCCAAAGCTCACTCAACTGTCACGGAGACGGTGCGGAGGACGAGGAGAAGGAGGAGGAGGCGGAGGATGAACGACGTTCCACTAGCCTGAAACAGTACGCCGGCCGACCTGCAATAGGCAAGCCGATCCGCGTCGACGGCGCCAGGAAAAGTGGGCAGATGAGCAGATGTGTACACAGTGTACACCCCTTGTGCCCGAATGGCCAAACACCATACATCCTCCAACAGACGAAGGGGACAAGAGGAGGAGGAGGAGGAGGAGGAGGAGAAAAGGAGGAGGAGGAGGAGGAGGAGAAAAGGAGGAGGAGGAGGAGGAGGAGGAGGAGGAGGAGGGGGAGGGAGGAGGGGGAGGGGGAGGGGGAGGGGGAGGGGGAGGGGGAGGGGGAGGGGGGAGGAGGAGGAGGGAGGAGGAGGAGGAGGAGGAGGAGGAGGAGGAGGAGGAGGAGGAGGAGGAGGAGGACGAGGAGGAAGGAGGAGGAGGAGGAGGAGGAGGAGGAGAGGAGAGACGAGGACGAGGAGGAGGAGGAGGAGGAGGAGGAGGAGGAGGAGAGAGGAGGAGGAGGAGGAGGAGAGGAGGAGGAGGAGCAGGAGGAGGAGGAGGAGGAAAGGAGGAGGAGGAGGAGGAGGAAGGAGAAGGAGGCGGAGGAGGAGGAGGAGGAGGAGGAAGGGCGGGAGGCACAAGAGCGCACGCTGGGTTGTTACAAACACTCATCAAGTAATTCGTAAGCCGAGTTGACAACGAAGGGCTGCGCTCCGCATGACACCCCGGGGGAAGCATCCGCTGCCACGGACGGCGGCCAGGAACAGGCGCGCAGCACAGTCTTGCCAGGTCAACATCACCCACTTGCAGTCCTTCCGTCTGTCCAGCTATGGCTGGGGAAAAACGGCCACAATCCAGAAGAGGAGGAGGAGGCAAGATGACACGACCAACGATGACAGAAATAAGGGAGGGAGAAGGGATGGAAGAGCAACGCCTACGCCCAACGCTCTCGTCGACCCCCACAGCGGCAGACGCATCCTGCCCCCCACTTGAAGGCGCTCTGGCCCCAAAAATGCCTCCTGTCACGCATGCGGGACAGCCCGCCGAAGCGTGAGCAAAAACAGGCGAAGGCACCAGACACACGGCCTGCCGAGTAGAGTTGGAGCTCCACCGTGCAACACTACCGAAACAAGGGCAAGCCAGTCCTGAAATGTCACACGCTCGGGCACGACGGCACCCTTTCCCTTCCTTATACATGAATCTGTCGAACCCCCAGACGTGTGCGTAGGGCGGGCCGGGCGTTTGGCCTGAGGCGCCATCGCCATGTGCGATCCGGAAGCTTGGAAGTTGCAGCGGTTTCACGGACGGAGGGCGGGTGGTTTCACGGAGGGAGGCCGCCTGAGCACCGCGCACGATTGTCAATAAAGTTTGACGCAGTTGCGGTGATTCGTATGCTGAAGACCATGGAAGGGTGTTCTGGTGCGGTTTAGGACGATCAGAACGCAACACCCATGTTGACTTGAAGTGTTGAGATCTGGGCAATGGTGTTCTGGTGCTGCTTGTGGTTGTCAACGCGCAGCAGTCACGCTGACCCGCGGCGTTGAAGTCTCTGGGGTGGTGTGCTGGGCACGGCTTCAGATTCTCAGACGGCCGTCTTCCACTGGGGCACTTCCCGCATTGACAACAGATTCCTGTTGGGACCTGTGGAGGGAGAACTTGGGGTGGAGGTTCCTGCAACCATCGTTGACGCGTGGTGGGTTCGCACAGGCATCCTCCACCTCCTGCCTCTTTCCTCCTCCTCCTCCTCGTCCTCCTCGTATCCCCCCCCATTGGTCCTCCTACTCCTCACTGGGGGAGACAGCGGCGACGCCTAGGACGCGCGACGACAATGACGCTGCACAGCGCCGGAAGACGACGGCGATCTACGACGGCAACGACGAACGAACGACGGCGACGACGGGGCCTTGGCCTCCTCGAGCTCACGGCGCAGGTCGGCTGCCTTCGACGCCGAGCTCGCCTCGGGGCCATCGGCGCCGACGACGCCGCCGACGCCCACGACGCAGGCATTCACCACGCTCCAGCGACGCATACTTCACGACCACACGTGCATCACGACGACGCGTGCACGCATACATCACGTGACGCGACAGTGGCATGCACGCATGCATCACGACGCGGCGCGCATCGCGCCCCAGTGACGCATCCATCACGGCAACTCTAGACACGTCGAAGACTGTAAAAAACGTCTGAGACGAGAGAACCCTCGCAGGCTCTCGACATGAGACAAGATAACGCCATGAACGCCGAGCAGGCAGAACTGATATAGCACTCGTGACCTTGCGGTCGGGGTGATCCCGAGCAATACGATCTCATGACATTTTAGCGACGGCGGCGATTAGGATGTAATCGGAACATTCTGGGTCTCCTGGGGTGCCCTCGTCGCGAAAGCTGGAATCGCCTTGACAGTTTTTCTTTTGAAGGAGGGAAGCGGAGAACATGCTCGAAGCTCCAACGGTCATGTCGCAAGTATGTTGCAAATTGGTGTAGGCACCGCCAAGGCCGGACAAACCAGGCCCCCCCTAAGCAGACCGACGCTAACTTAAGGAGTTACCGGTGACATGTCTTCCCGCGCAAGACACCACGGGTGACACAACCATATCTCGAATCAGAAGGTCGCAAAGCAAACGGGGAACACCGCACAAGCTGACCCGCACTGGGCAAGCTCATGCCTTAAACCGTGGCCCGAGCAACAGCTCGACAGCGCAACTGCGACAGGAGGCAGGAGGACCAAGGAGGACGAGAGGGAGGAGGCAGGAGGAAAGACTCTGGCACGGGCATGAGGATATTGGGTCACGGAGGTGCAGGCTCTCTTGCCCATCATCACACTACGTTCCTATTTTATCGCTAGCACTACCTCAGGGTGCTCGAGGGCAGGGCTGGCTTGTTGCCCGCGCGTCTGCGCGGACTTGCTGACGCTTCAGGCGGCGCGTGCGCCTCACAGCATGCCTACGAAAAGAGGAAGGACACTCGCGCTGTGTGGGCACCCCCTGTGGCCCTGCCAGCCATGCGTAGAAACACACGCAGCGGGCGCCACGGAGCAGGGAGGAGAAGCAAGCGGAGGGGGAGCGGCGGCGGGATGTAAAACTGCCCCATAAACGGCCAATAGAGTCAGAGGCTCCTCGTGGAGTGCGTCGGCCACGCACAGACGCCCTTCACGAGTCGAGGAAGAGCTGAGGCCGCAAACTTGGACTGGCCATGCTGCTTCGCAGGTGGAAGCGGTTGCAGAGACGCCACTTGACAGAAACTCGCGGAGTGCGTCGACCGCACTCCCTGGACAGTGCAGGAGGCGGCGCCCGCACAACCTTGCGTCGGCGCGCAGGGGGGGGCTGCTTCTTGGAGGGCGCTGGCCCTACATCTACAGATGAGGCCAGGCGCCTTGTAGGACGCAGCCTCCTTCTAAGAACCTGTCCCCCCTCCCCCTGCCCCTCTCTGCGCGTGGCCAAAGACGTCCCTCACGAGCCGAGGAAGAGCTGGGGCCGCAGGTTTTGGCTGGCCGCGCTGCTTCGCAGATGGGGGCCATGCCACTGTGCCGAATGAGCGAGCACCAAAGTGCCGCGGATGCCGATGCATCGCAGGCGCGGGGGTGGGGGGAGGAGGGAGGAAGGAGGCCAGGAGCAAGGCAAACGAGTGCGAACAGGCAAAGACTATGAAAGATGCAGTGTCTCACCTGAGGGGCTTATGGGGGACGGAAATGAGGTGAGCAAATCGCCCCTGACGCCCCCGATGCGGAGGACGCTGCCCCCATATCTGGAAACAGCGTGGGGGGTCAAAATAAAAAAAACGCTGGGCAAAATGCCCAACCGTGTGCAGTTGTGAATAACACAATTGTGGGTATCGTCTTCGGTGGAGCCCCCTACGGGGCCACGAAACGTTTGAGGGATATACCGATATAGGCACGGTGGGCGCATGCGAACGCGTGTGCAGGGTGCGGCGAAATGGGTACGGTAGCGCCCGCCATGCGAGCGCAGCCATTGGGGCCTTCGGTGGAACTTCCTATAGGGCCACGAAACGTGTGAGGGTGTGCCGGAATGGGCGCGGTGGTGCCATGCGGACGCAGCCATTGTGGCATCAGTGGGGCTCCCTATGGAGCCACGAAGCGTGTGAGAGGTGTGCCGAAATGGGTGCAGCGGTGCCGTGCGAGCGCAGCCACTTGGGCCTTTTGGTGAAGCTTCCTATAGGGCCACGAAACGTGAGAAGGGTGTGCCGAAATGGGCGCGGAGGTGCAATGCGAACGCAGCCACTGGGGCCCTCGGAGGAGCTCTCTATGGGGCCACGAAGCGTGTGAGGGGTGTGCCGAAATGGCCGCGGTGGTGCCCTGCGAGCGCAGCCATTGGGGCCTTCGGTGGAGCTCCCAATGAAGCCACGGAACGTGTGAGGGGTGAGCCGAAATGGGTGCGGCGGTGCCAAGCGAGCGCAGCCACTGGGGCCCTCGGTGGAGCTCCCTATGAAGCCACGAAGCGTGTGAGCGGTTTGCCGACAAGGGCGCGGTGGTGCCATGCGAACCAGTGGGGCCCTCGGTGGAGCTCCCCATTGGAACACAGAACGTGTGAACGGTGTGCCGAAATGGGCGCGGTGTTGCCAAGCGAGCGCAGCCACTGGGGCCCTCGGTGGAGCTCCCTATGAAGCCACGAAGCGTGTGAGCGGTTTGCCGACAAGGGCGCGGTGGTGCCATGCGAACCAGTGGGGCCCTCGGTGGAGCTCCCCATTGGACCACAGAACGTGTGAACGGTGTGCCGAAATGGGCGCGGTGTTGCCAAGTGAGCGCAGCCACTGGGGCCCTCGTAGGAGCTCCGTATGGGGCCACGAAGCATGTGAGGGGTGAGCCGAGATGGGTGCGGCGGTGCCATGCGAGCGCAGACACTGGGGCCTTCGGTGAAGCTCTCTATGGGGCCACGAAGCGTGTGAGGGGTGTGCCGAAATGGCCGCGGTGGTGCCCTGCGAGCGCAGCCATTGGGGCCTTCGGTGGAGCTCCCAATGAAGCCACGGAACGTGTGAGGGGTGTGCCGACATGGGTGCAGCGGTGCCGTGCGAGCGCTGCCATTGGGGCCCTCGGTGAAGCTCTCTATGGGGCCACGAGGCGTGTGAGGGGTGTGCCGACATGGTTGACTGGTGCTGAGAGCAAAGGCAGGGATGGGAGGATGGGAAGGAGGGGCAGCGGGAGGAACGCGGGGCGCACTCTTCAAAACGAGGACCCAACGCCATAGCATCGTTGGGACGAACAAAAAGTATGCAAACCAAAGCTGTGATGCAAAGGGGGGGCAGGAAGACGGGACGACTGCCAAAGAAAGGGACCGCCTGAGCACTGTGTTCCCTCCGCGCGCTGTGCAAACATCCAGCCTTCACCGAGCAAGTGTCATTTCACGTCTGGATCCCCTTCTTGCTTGATTCGGGGTGGAGCGAGGACGGGAACGAGGAGGAGGGGGGGAAAAGGAAGATCGCCGCGTCGCGGCAGAACTACGGCGCGCTGTGCTGCTGGACGTCGTCCTCCCCACTGTGCTGCTGGACGTCGTGCTGTTGGTCGCAGCCCTGATGCTCAAAGGTGTGCTGCCTGCCCCAGTGCAGGTCCCTCTCCAGGCCGACAGGGACGCTGCTCCTCCTTGCGTTGCCGAGCTTGCGTTTTCAGTCGCCCCTGGGAGGCCCCCAGACGTACTGCGCGCCTCTCTGCGCGACCGGCTGGGCATGGCCCTTCGTGGGCCCCGGAAACGGCAGGGCCGTTTTTTTCACCGTTTCCGAAAAAAATGTCCCTTGAAAATGGAAACGGCAAAAAAAGGCGACCGGAAACGGCAACAAAAACGGCTCCAGGATTGGAGCCGGAGCGGGAACCCGTAAAAAAACAGCAACGGAACTGGTAACAAAAACGGCGTCGGAACCGGCAACAAAAACGGCAAAACGGAACCGGTAACAAAAACGGCCCTGTCGTTTCCAGGGCCCACTAGAGGTACTGCGCGCATCTCTGCGCGACCCGCTGGGCATGGCCTGGGCATGGCGCCAGGCGCCGCATGGCTGTGGACCGCCGCCAGCCTCGGCCGAAGCGCGCGGGCAGCGGCGGGGAACCGACCCCGCGGGAGGTCCAGCCGTCGGCTGGGGGATCGTCCCGGGGGGGGGGGGCTGCTGCGGCTGACTGCAGCCCTCTCCCCTGGAGCCCTGGAGGGTTCAGGAGAGCTGGCGGCCAGGCGGCCGGAGCGGCAAGCCTGGGGCGGCCGAAGGAAATGCTGCCGGCCGCCGTCGTGCTGCGCGTCCGCGTGCTGTTCGCACTCACTGCACGTCACACTCCTGGACGCCAGAGCCCCGCCGCGGGTCCCGACGGTGCTGCTGCACGTCTCGCTCGACGTCGTGCTGCTCGCCACACTGCACGTCCAACTCCCGAGTGGCAGCGAGCTGCCAAACGTGCTGCCTGACGTCGTGCTGCTTCCCGCCGTGGTCCCGCTCCCAGTCGCGCAGCTCGCCACGCGGCACGTCCCACTCCTGGATGCCCGAGTCGTGCTGCTGCTCCCGAGTGCACTGCTGGACGACGTGATTGCGGGCAATACATATATGAATATCCAGAGCGTCGTGGACTTTTTGAAAAGGGGTGCCGCAAGGCCGAGGCGCACTGGATATGGATAAAAGTCAAACCTTCTGGGGCAAGATTTTCATCCATACCCAGTGCGCATCCGGTTTCTGGGGAAGAAAGCCCAAAGCTCCAAGACGCACTGGATGTGGATATAGCTATTGCCCGCAGTGATGGTGATCGCCGTTGCGGTGCTCCAAAGTGCTCCGTCCGCCACAGGGTGCGTGACACTTCAGTCGGGCCAGGCGTGGCACTCGTACCCGGGCGAGCGGTCGAGGAGGACGAGGCGGAGGAGAGGAGTCGCCTCGGAATTCTGGCACGATCCCACCCATGAACAGGTCTGGGGGGCCCATCGTGGAGCGATGGCGACGACGGGCTCTCGGAGATCTGCAACGCTTTTGTCGCTGGTCTCCTGGACGATCTCTAGCCCCAGGGTGGTTTCCAACAACTGCGCCTCGTCGACAGCCTTCTGTGGGGAGCCCACAGAGGACGTACGCGCCCAGCTATGTACATGAACACGGCCCCTCGATCCGCGAGACCAGCCGCGTAATACGAACATTCGCGCAATGCGTACTCTCGAAACCAGCGTGGATTCGTGTACGTGTACGTCCTTCTTTCGCTCCTGATTCTGCGGAGCTCAGGGATGCTCCCACACGGCGTCACGGCCGCAGAAGGCCCGGGTGAGGCCACCGAGCGCCCACCGGAGGGAGACCGACGACGGCAGCGACATCGGCGACGGCGGCGGTGGCGACGCCTCAACGACTCCCAGGCCTGTCCCAGAGCGAGATCACCGGTCGATGGGGAGCTTCCCATGCTGCCGACGAGGGCCAACAAAAAGCCTGAGCATGCCGAGCAATGCAAGGGCCGTGCACGGGAGATCCAGACACGGCCAAAGACCCTCAAGAGAACTTCATCTGCGAACTTCAAAAGCATGCTGGCCATGCCAGAAGCCTCCGAGAATCTCCAAAAACCTCCTCCTCCTCCTCCTCCACCGACAACGACGAAGACGAACGCGACCACAAGGGCGATCACGACGGCGACGAGGGCGACGGTGACGGCGACGGCGTCGGCGGCGGCGGCGGCGGCGACGGCCACGACCACAACGGGACGGACGGTGACCACGACCACGACCACGACCACGAAGACGACGAGGGCGACGACGACGGCAACAACGGCGACGGCAACGACGACGACGACGTCGACGAGCCCGCCTCGGAGCCCGCGAGCCTCTGCCGCAGGGATGCGGCGGCCGCCCTGGCCTCTCCGAGCTCGCCGTCCAGCGAGGAGGCGTGGGCCTGCGGGGCGGCTGCCAGAAGGCAGGCTCTTGCCGTCGCCGAAACGGAGGAGGGGAAGAAGGAGGAGGAAGGCCGAGGCAGTGGCTCGAGGGCTCCGAGGCGGGCTCGTCGTCGTCGTCGTCGTCGGCGGCGGCGGCGTCGTCGTCATCGTTGCCGTCGTTGCCGTCGTTGCCGTCATCGTCGCCCTCGTCGTCTTCGTGGCCGTGGTCGTGGTCGTGGTCGCCGTTGTGGTCGTGGCCTTCGCCGCCGCCGCCGCCGACCACGTCGCCGTCGCAGCCTGAGGAGGGGAAGGAGGAGGAAGGCCGAGGGAGGAGGAGGATGGACGGAGGCGGGTGCGGAGGCAGGATGAGAAGGAGGAGGTGCCCAACCAATCGAGGATCGAGGCTCCTGGGGATGGGAACCGGGGCACAAAGAGTCGGCGAAGGGGCAAGAGGCTGAGAGGAGAGGGGGGAAAAAGGAGGGAGGGAGAAGGAAAGAATGAAGAGAAATGCGGAACAGGGGATGAAGAGGAGGGAGGAAGAGGAATGACGAGGGCGGGCGGGGGCGGATGCGGGACGGGGAAGGAGGGGATGCCCGACCAACCCGCCACGCCCCAGGCAGGGCGCGGGTCCTGGAGCAAAAGGGTTTCGGAACGAGGCTCCTGATTCCGACGGCGCTACGGCCCCGTGATCTGCCTCTGCTGGCAATGAACAGAACGTCCTTTCCGGTGAGGGCATTGGAGACGGAGACATTCGATAAGGAATCCAGGGTCTGGAAGCCAGTGGAAAGCCAATCGTGGATTGGCCATGATTATCGCCGCCGCCCTCATCATCAGATACGGAATCCTCCAGGGTCTGAAGCCTCCTGGGCACGTTCCTTAACGAACGCCCCAACCATAGCAAAACATGGCTTAATGAAAACAACCCGGACCAGACCTGGCGGGCGCAAGCCAGCAGAAGTTGCGGCCACAACTCCCTCGCGAATCGACATGGCAGGGCGGGGGTCCTGTTCACATCCGACTCTGTTCCTGCGTGGAGGTGCTGCGAATGCCGTCCTGGCAGCTTCGAGAAGAATTCGGCCTGTCTTGCCAGGCCCGGCTGGCCTCGGGGAACGCCGAAGGTCAACAGAAGGCCGTCCCCCTCCTCCACCTCCTCGTCATCCTGCCCCCTTCCGACCCACGGCGAAGGTCGCAGCAACACGACGGAAGCTTCTGGGGACCTGCGGCGACCCGCCCCCCTCCCCTGACGACGACGGCGGCGGCGACGATGACGATGACGAAGATAACGACGACGACAACGAAGAGGCGCCCAGCGTAAGAGGGGTGAAGTTGCCACCGGCCACGGCTAGAGACACCGAGGCATCCTGCCACTCTCGACGCCGTGCGCGCTGGAAGGATCAGCAGGGGCGACGGAGGGAGCGCGGACAGCGGCAGCGGGGGCAGACGATTCGGCCGAACTGAGGGAGCACGCGGGGGCCGCAAGGCTGTGCTCGCCTGAAACGGGACGAAGAGGAGGAGGAGGAGGAGGAGGAGGAGGAGGAGGAGGAGGAGGAGGACCAGTGCAACCCAAAGACTCATCAACGACCTTGGAATACACCCTCGCTCCAAGCTCCCTCTTCATGGGCCAGTGCGAGGGTTCATTGCCACGAGTGAACTGCTCCGTAGGAGGACAGGCGTTCGAGGACCCCGGAGCGTCCCAGAACATAATGCTCAGGACTTCAACGCCAAGAGTTGACCTGACTGGCACGCCTTGGCGATCCTGATCTTGCCGGGACACCATTCTTGGGATCTCAACACCGCGAACCAGCGTAAACGAATCAGCGTAACCATTGCACCCTAACAATCCTGAGTCGTTCCATCACACGATTTCTAATATTTTCACCATGAGAACAAGTGAAGCCTTTGAAAACAAACATTCAGATCAAATGCGCACGGCACTAAAGCGAGAACCACATTTTGAAAACGACCCGCCCTCAGTCCCTGAACCACTTACAATGTGGCAATACCGAATGTGCTCGGCGCTGAGGAGAGAACCACATTTTGAAAACCACCGACCCTCAATCTGTGAAACTCTTGCAAATGTCTGAAATGAATGTGGGCGGCGCTAAGGCGAGAGCCACATTCTGAAAACGAGCAGCCCTCAATATATGAAACTCTAAAGGATTTCTGAAACGAATGCGCGCGGCGCTGAGGCGATAACCACATTTTGAAAAGGAACCGCCCTCAATCCGCGAAGCGCTTGCAAGTTTCTAAACGACTGTACGCGGTGCTAGAAGCGAGGGCCACATTTGGAAGCGACCCGCCCTCCACCTGTGAAACTGCTGCCACTTTCTAGCTTCAGGGTCATAGAATGTGAGGACGTCTCAGGCGAAATGCCCGGCCCGCCCTTTCGACCAGCGTCGGTGTGCGACAGTGAGGAGTTATCCATAAGGAGGAGGAATGGAGGAGGAGGAGGAGGAGGAGCAGCAGGAGGAGGAGGAACAAAAATGGGAAAGAGGAGGAGGAGGAGGAGGAGGAGGACGACGAGGACGGCGGTGGCGACCAGCGTGGAGGCGCGGGCCTTGGCCTCCTGGACCTCGCTGCGCAGCGACGACGCGGCGGCCCTCTCCTCCAGCAGCGCCCTGGGCCGTGCCAAGCCGAGTGGGCGGCCCCAGGAGGAGGGAGGAGGGAGGAGGGGCAGGCATGGAAGCAGGAGGGGGGTCGAGCTTCGAGGATCGAAGCTCGAGGATCTAAGACGAAGCCAGGTCGGGTGAGAATATATGGAGAAACTCTGATCTACGGCGGCTCCGAATGATGTCTCGGGCGCTGCGGACTTCTCGGATTTTTCTCCCAAAGCGCCCTGAGAGCGTTCCGGAACGATTTGGAACGTATTTATCCTCGTCCTAGCCCCGCCCGAAAGATCGCTGCTTCTGGACCCTGTGCGCCCGTCTTGGGCCTCCAGGGGCTCCTCGGCGCCACAACTGGGTTCCCCAGATGTCTGTCGGCATGCAGAGACGTCTGGGGGTCGATGGTCGAGGGAACGGGATGGTGGAAGAGGGAGAAATTAGACGTAGCCTGAGGCGCGCCGACGATGCATTGACTTTACAGGAGGCCGGGCCACGTCTCGATCGGGCAGTGGACCGCGGGGAAGGAGGCCCGGCCAAAAATGAAGGAGCGGCGTGCCGGTGCTCAACGGCCAGAGGCGGGAGCATGGATGTGCCTCGACAAGCTCTGACATGAACGCCCGGCCCAACCAATCGGGTGTTGCTAGCTAAAGGTGCCCCTGGCCCAATGTGCCCCCCTCGCCATCGCTCGGACGTCCATTCCCTGTTTTTGTTTCGGTTTCGTGCGTGATTTTTTTGGCAAGTGATCCAGGATGCTCCTCGATGGTCCTCGCCGAAGGAAAAACGCACACACCCGAGCGATGCCAAGCCCCAGCTTTTCGCTCCGTTTTGGAGCACCTGGGGCCCTCTGGGCCTCGTGAGGGGTGCCCTGGAGGCCGTGTGGGCCACCCCGAGAATCCTGGGGGTACCTTGGGCCAGGAGTACTTCTAGCAACACCCGAAACAATCTCCCCACTCATGCTCCCCCTCACATCTGCCGCAGCTTGATTCTAGACGTTGGCCGTCCAGGCGGTTACGGCACATGCCCGCTGGAGAGAAAAGCGAAGGTTGTTTTTGAAACGTGGTCTTTTCCTCACCTGCTGCTGGCACAGCCCTTGGACAGCTGGGCAGGGGAGCAGGGGAAGAGGAGGAGGAGGCGGATGAGGAGGAGCGAGAAAAGGAGCCACCCTAGAGTGGGAGACAATGACCCTAAGCACTGGCGGGAACTAGCTCCAGCTGTAGGTTCCATCAGTCCAGGTCCCCACCCGCCAACCCACAAGATCCACCCTCCGAAAACACCAATCCGTCCGCATTTTGTAAGTCGGCGCTCTGACGTGGCGCCAACAGGCATCTGTGCGCAAGGTCGTGGGAGCAACGGGTGCGGTTTCTGCGACGCTCCTGCAGGAGAGCCCAGCTCGACCCTCACGATGTGAGCGAGATAGAATGCGATGATCACCCAACCGATGCCAGGCGGACGAGCATCGTCCTGGAGGCTGTGGTCCTCTTCGGGGCCCGGTCCTCAGTCCTCTTCCGACGAGCAAGTAAGCGAGGGCACGGGAAGGCGCGGGGGAGGGCGGTAAAATGCGTGCGACGAGGGCGCTGCCAAGAACGGCGCGTCGAGTGCTGCGCCGAGCGACCGCAGCGGCAAAGCCGAGCCTTCAGGACGTGCATGCTGCGGGACGTGATCCAGCCCGCGCGAAGCGCCTGCACCCGCGCGCCACTGATGGACCAGGGATGGCTGCGCGAGCTCTCGCCGCACTGCCTGCCAGCGGAGCTCCAAATCGGCAGGCACCTCGGATGAGAAACCCGGCGCCATTAAACGCTTGGCAATCGTGGACGCGAAAGTGTCGGGGAAGATAGACGCAGATAGGGAGCGAACTACAGCCACCTGAAGGCTAGGGCGCCGACCGTCACATGTAGCTTGGGCGACCTCCTCGCGGCCAGCCCGCTGGGCGGCGCGCAAGCAGGCTGTCGAGATCTGCCGACGAGAAGAAATCGGGATGGGGCTGCCGCTAGCCATCGAATAATACATCTCACCGATGCAACGTTGATGCTGCCAAAACGGCGGACGCAACAATCCATGGAGCCAGCGGGTTAGGGAACCGTGCGCGTGGGCGGTTTCCGTGAGCGCAGTCACCCGAGGATGCCACGTTCCGTCAATCGTGGAAGAGCAGAACCGCCAAGAAGCGGCGGCAATGTAGGTGACGATGGAAGGGAGCCCCGCTTTCCCCCAGGAGCGGAGGGAATGGAAATCGGCCAGCTTCAAGGAATCTGGGAGTAATCGGCACACGTTGTGCAATGCAAGAATCCTGTATTGCAGCATTTTG